AAAAAACGTTTCCACCAGCTTGGTCAGGCTGACCACAACGCTCCCACAATGAGGGAAGGGTCAACACTGGAAGATCACAGCCTGGTTCAATTTGCTCAACACACTCTACCTGAAAGAAACTTCATCCAACATGCGTTGGACAATTGCTTTTGTTTATTTTTTATTCTTAACATGTGTCGAATAATAATAAAAAATATCACGGTGTAATTACAGAGGCCGGAATACCCGTGCGAGGTGGTAGTGCTTAGAGCCCCACAGTCTCCGCCCCCTCCGCGTGGGTGGCAGTGAAGGGGTGGACGGGAGGAGAAAAGAAACCGCACACATCGCCTTTCAACGCGGTCCCCTTTGAAAATAAGGCTCAAAGAATGCACTAAGGGGGCAGTCCAAATAGTAAAAAAAAACATTAATAACACTAATAAAATGTTATCCTCCGCTGGACCCCATCCGCCTACGCACACCCCCATCTTTGTGGGATACCGTGTGCACGCCTACGGACAAAGACAAAAATTTAGAAATTAAAAAACATTACGAAAATAATGCCAATGAAGTTAAAACAACGCTTTGTCAGAGCCTTAGTCAGGAAGTTGGTAAAGAGATCCACGCTTTCTTTCTTGCGGAGGCATCATCTATGGACTATAACCAACATGAAGGGATACAGCACCAGTGTGAAAGGGTTGATATAGACGTGTGTTGCCTTTATTTCCTATTTGAAGTATGGATCTTCATTTTTGTTTCGTTTCCGGCCCTTTTCTACTACTCCTTTACTTTTCTTTATGGCCCAATACAGCTTGCCAGACCTTAGTTTTACCTGCCGTAGGTTCTAGTGAGACGTTGGATGGCAGAGTCCACAACAAAGCACCTTATGGATAGAGATGAACCGGCTCATCTTCCCTTCAATATAGATTAAAAATGATGCACACACTTCCCCAATGGTGCCGCCCTTTTATTATTATTACTATTACATTGTTAGCTATTCGCTCTTGCTTTCCATCGTCCTATCAAGTAAGCCGTAAAACAAAACGAGAAAGTTGACAGTTGCTTCACCTGTGAAAAGCTACGTCATGAAGAAGTTTCCACTACCTTCTCCCATGCGAGGGGTGAGGGCATCCCCGTTTATTGCCTTGCATTGTAGTCACAGTGGAATTACTTCTCAGTAACGGAGAGGCCCCCACTGCGTGCAGAATCCTGCGGTTGTCATTGACGCAGACTCAGCTGAGCGTATCATGCGAGTGCCCGCACCACGCCTCGCTTCGCCGCAAACGCCGGTAAACAGTCAAGGCGCCCGAGACGTTTTTCAGTACTCTTGACTCAACACCAGCAACAGAAGTGCCGTCACCGCGGCACCGTCCATAGGCGCCGCAGAGGCAATCGTGCGATTGTGCGAGCCCCCGGCGATGAATCCACAAGGACTCAGCAAAAGTGTTGTTGCATCCAACGAATAACCAACAAACAAAAAATGACAGCCAAAAGCAAACAAATAAATGTGTCATTGCCCTTTTTCTTCGTGCATAGACACGACATGGCAATACGGCTGATGACACGGCAAAGAAACTTCCGGTATTGACACTTAAGTACATAACAGTGTTCTCCTGATAAAATGGATGGCGAAACTTATTCGTTCATCGCGAACAAACCGAAGAACGTCAGACACCGTTGCGAACGCCATAGCCATCCGCGGTTTCATGCGAAACACACCTGTTTCTATCCTTCTCTTTTATTACACCGCGAAAGAGATGAGGACCACTATGCACAATTGTGTTATTCCACGTTAGCGCATGTGCTTGAGAAGTAAAAGACCGCAAGCAAAAATAATAATAATATGTGCATGCGGGTATGTATGCATTTATCATATTCACAATTGACTGGGGATCAGAGAATTTTGTTGGCCGTAATCGGCTCTCACCCAAATATTGAGTAGACTGTTGCTCCTGTGCCAAATGCAACATAAATCATACCTGCAAGCAGGGATATGCACGTCATGATGTAGTGGAACCAGTTGGCATTCTTTACAGTCCATCCACGAGAATACATGTAAAACAACGCCTGGTCAATAAAGCTCATGAAGCTGCAAGACATCGCCCCAGTGAGATCGAAAGCGGTGTTGATTAGTGAAATAAATAAACAATAAACAAGTACAGTGTTATGGAGATAAGGGTTACGGTTGCGATGTGCCTCTAGTACGCCAGGCCATTGATGTCCCAGGCCAAAAGATATTACACCGTGTTTCGACACGGTGTAACATTCAACGCATACGACACACACAACTCAACGATAGGTCCAACACATACGTCAAAGTCACGCCTCAAAAATTCCGGGGTAACTGGAAAATGTTGCACAATTGGAGTAATTAGGCTCCCGCCGCAGTGATGTATGCGACTGCCGCACCAAAACAGCTCAGACCCATGACAACAGCCATAAAATAATCGGCGCCTTTTCCAAAAAATGTCTCTTAATATTTGGTTCAAAGGCCCGATAACCCGCTTTATCCATCATATAACCCAAAATGGTCAAGGTTATACACCCTGAATATCGTCGTGAAAATGAGATACGTCATCCCCATAAAAATTCCTGAGGCGCGAAAGGATCATGGCAACGTGATGACGCCAGTCCACAGAGAAGCCACGGCGAGACTAAAACTGTTGGGAAGAGGCCTGCCATGCGGTATCACCGTGCCAAGCAGCACGGCAAAGCAACCGGTGATGCGTTTTCAATACCCCTGATGGGTTGCTAAAAGTGCCAGTAATGGTGCAACCCGCCTCTTTTGGCGTGCCGAGAAAAGGAGCACGCGCTGAGTCAGAAGCCGCGGACCCCTTCTCGCAAGAGTTCGGGTAAATCCTCCATGGCGTCTGGTTGCACTTTATTGAGCAGAAGCACAGGGAGAAAAAAAAAAAGTAAAGAAAAAATATTACAACAATAAAAAATATATAAAAAAAAACGCCACATACTCTGGTTTCGTCATTGTTGTTGGTTGGGCAGCATGGCAAAGAAAACAAAGCAAAATAAACGAAAAGTGAGATAAACTTCCGTTCAGCTTCTGTTGTTTCTCTAGCAAGGAGGCACCTCTCAGCACAATGCAACAACTCTGCGTGACAGACATTTCACTTCTTTATGTACATCACAATGGAGAAAGAATAAACAAAAAAAAGAGCCAAAGAGAGAAATCGAGGTCAGCAGATCGCTCAACTGTCATTTCACTCCAGCTCGGCTCGAGGAGAGTCCATTGGCGCGTATGGGTAGCGGCACAATCGTGCGATGTACTCCTCATTCTGCTCTCTATCCGCCTCCCACTTCTCAATGCAATACACCGACTTTGTTCCCTGTAACCGCTTCAGTATCCTTAAGTTTTCCGCTTCAATACGTTTCTGTTCCCGCATCCGGCGGCGTTCCGCATCACGCTCCACGTTGGTGTTGCGCCAAGGTTCCTTGTTATCAATCCCACCACCTCTTTTCATGATGTTTGTCATGTTGGCGACGAGGCGTCGGTTCTCCTGCTCAATCACTTTACAGCGTTCCTGCTCCATCAGTGCCCTCTTATTGCTTAGACTGAGCGCTTGGGGTGGTTTGTTGTCGATGCAAGACTTTTGCTGCTCCACCCGCTGTCGATGCTGCTTGTACTCACGTTGCCGCTGCTGTTCAAGCCACAACGCGGTGGCTGTAGGCTTCGGCTGTACAGGCATCACCAAAGTTCCGATGTTTTGCGCCTTTTGTGCCTCTTTTCTCCTCTCCCCTGAAGTAGCTGCTTGCAACCAGCTTCTATTAGCTGCGCGGATACCGCTTCGCACCCCTTTCCAACAGAAAAAGAGAGAAAGGAAAAAATAATCAAAAACCAGAAGGAGAAACCGAAGAACTAATGTTGTCTACTGTCGATAGGCTCCTCCTGTCAGGTGAAGGCAGAACCGCCACAAAGAAATAGTGAGGCCAGCAACTCGCACCATTTGGAAAAAAAAAAAACGTAAATACAAGATACCGCTTTTGTTGTTGTTATAAGGGAAGGGCAGGTGGGTTTGTCGTTTCTTCTTCTCCTGTCCCATTGCACGGGTGCTTGTAAGGGGTGACAACCACCCAACACTCTCTCCTCCCTCTCACATCGCAACTGCACCAAAACAAGAAAACTTATCACACGGCGGCAAGACGCAAAAATTCGCGGTAGTGTCGGTGGTGGCATAAATACACGTTGTTAGGCTGTGGAGACAGGCTTACATACATCGCTGTCGTGTATGTGTGGTGAACAACAACAACGACAATTACCCAAAAACAAAAACAAAAAAGAAAAGCATTAAAAATGCATATACTGCTATTCTACATGCGTATGGGAAAAATTATGCGTGTATACCGACACACACAGCACACTAAACGCGTGAGTGATACGGGAACCATTGACCCAGTAAAAGGGAAGGAACGAGGTAAGCAAAAAGTGTGAAACTTCCACAGCAACTTCATAGTCAAATGCCACACGCACACACCTATAAGGAGACAGAAAGAAACGAATAGAAAAAAACATCGTGGGGAAGACACACATTCAGCGAATACACACATTCTTCATTACATGTAGGTGGTTTGTTCACGCAGGGAGTGTATACGTCACGTCTTACGAAAATTGGGCCCGATAGGAGTCAACAACATTCTGACGACAACTTGGCGAAAGCAGTGTGTACCCTTGAAGTAAGACTGTCAAGGGTACAAGAACAAATCCTGTCGGCCCAGGTCTGTTTTTATCTACCGGTTCAAGTGACCTGTCCTTCACAACATAAAAATCCGGCTGACATATCATCTGAACAAAGAGCCGAACCTGCTGCAGTAGTGTGTCAGACTCTGTCATTGTGTTTTGTGCCTCGGCAAGATCCTTGTTGACGCGTTGAAGTTGCGCCTGTGTGCGCATAAGATCCAGCTCCAATTCCTGCTTGAGTTTCGCAAAATTGGTCTCATGTTCCTCCTTTTCTCCCTGAAGTCTTTTACAGGCTTCTTCCAACCCCCTCTTTGCCCTCTGCGTCTCTTCAAGTCGCTGTCTAAGGTCATCGTTTTCAATATGAAGAGTTTTGATCTTTTGTTGCGTATGCTCGTCACTGACCCTCGCTGCGTGTTCTTCCCTAAAGTTGTGAAGAGCCATGTCGCGCTCCTCACCGGTTACTTGAAGAAGACGGCGAAGCTCGGCATTGATCGTACGCATGCAAGTACCCTGCATTTCCATTAGCTCCACGAGGTCGTGGACTGTATATGTTCGCCGCTCCACTTCCTCGCTCAACTGAAGCTGCGTCATTGCCGCTTTCCGTCGAAATTTTTGTATTTCATCACTTTTTATCCGCAACTTTTCCAGTGCCCGCTGGAGTTCCGCACCAAGCTGGTGAACCTTCTTCTGCTCTGTCGCAAACCCGCCCTGAGATCTTTGTTGCCCACCTGAATCCACCACACGCACTTCACCTGTGCGGGTACCCTCCACAATGGTGCTAAGAGGGTCCAGGTAGGGTGCATTGTGGTGCGAGCCGAAAAGTTATCACGGAGTGTTGCAGAGGCATGAGAGATGGAGCTTTCTTTTTATTGTCTACAGCGTTAGCACGTCTCACAAAGCTGAGCGGAGGCGTGAAAGCTGACTCCGCACAGACCATTGGCTACACCTGCAAAACTAGCTCTCAACAACTCCCTAGTTTGGGCTTGTAGAGAAAGAAAAGAAAAAAAACAGGAGGGGTATGAGAGCAATGCAAAGAAGTACGGTGACACACTACACCTTGCCTCCACGCAGGCGCACACGTCATACAATAATGCACAGCCCATAAATGTTCATCCGGTGCTTTATCCAACTCGGTTAAAAAGCTAGAACAAAAACAGCTCCTCCACGCATGCGACAGAGGTGGGAACTCAGAGACCATTGAGGCGGGTATTCGTCACTGGGGCCCGCCCACTAGGATGCCTTGATGATTTGAAGTAGGTCAGACAACTCTTTCAGTTCCGAGCGTGAGAAACAGACGGCAGCGGCGGGACCGTACTTCAACACCAAGGGGGACACTTTTTGAAGCAGGTGTCGCAAGTCGTGTGACACCTCCCCACAAAGAACCTTCTTCACCACCACCTTTTCCCTTTGCTCCTCCTCTTCCTCCTCATCTTCTTCCACCACCACCTCATCTTTGTCGTCCATCCCATCGCCTTGCTCCTCCTCCTCGTCCTCTTCGTCGTCCAGAGAGGCCTGCATGGCGAGATTAAGCACACCTCTCCCAACACCAACGAAAATCGCCACCTCCAAAGGCAATTTCACCGCGTTTCGTTTCCTATCAATCCATGTCAATAGTTGACCACAGAGCCTTTCATCCAGAGGCCATTGCAACAGAAAATCTAGCAACGCATCGCAAGAATCAAAAAGAACTTGTTTCCCGATAAAGATACTCATTTTTGGCAGCCATACGGAAAAGGTGTCAAGAAAAATACCGGATGACAATAAAACATTGATGAACGCATGTATATGAAGCTTCATTAATACAGCTAGAGGAGCCACAAGTTCCTCCGTCACCGTATCGGTGCAAACTGTCATCAGACGACGCACAATGGTTGTAATAAGCCGCTCAATCTCATCATCCCGGAATGCACTCGTATTATATCCAATGGCAACCAAAACTCGACCAGCATTCATCAATGAGGCTTCTTTTACCTCATCCCTCAGCATGGTCATAACGATCATGACAAGTATGGAAGAAAATGGATGCGGTTGAAGATCGCCTCTCTGCAAGGTAGCGAGTCCTGCAAAATCACCGAGCACCGACTGTTCCATACACAATTCCGGAAACGACCCCTTCATCAAAGAGTTGGGTACGCAAACTTTCATTGTTCCCACGTGTGGACACCGCTGCAATAAAGCAGCAAGACAAGCTGACGCAGAGGATATGATAGAAGACTCTTCCGTTGCAAGTAACAGTCGACAAAGGGAGCCAACCAAAGTGTCCGCCGCTCTCATTGCAACCTGATTCGACCCCTTCTCAAAAATGTATGTCAGCATTTGGACAACAAAAGGTATAACGCAATACTCTGCCACACCACACGGACTGTTCAAGACGTCAGCTAGCCAGGAGAAATGAATCGTAAGAAACTCATCTCCACCGGAATCTATGATCAACTCACCAAAAACGGATACAACCAACTCCCCCATATTTGGATCTTGAATATGATTTCTCCAGCAACGAAACAAATTGTTGTAGGATTCTGAAGAGGCAACATCTCTTCGCTTAAGATGGCATTGTGAAATCCATTCCGTGTAGACCTCAAGGCACAAGTATAAAAATTCATCCGAAGTAGTTTCATTTAACAGCAGCGAAAACAGTGCATCTTGACCCTTGAAAAAAAGGGTTAAAACATCATCCACATCGGCCAAAGGAACAAGAGAATGAAAAAGTCTGCATGCTGCAGCAGAAAGTAAGGGAACAGAGCTTGACAAAGAAACTAGTGCCTCAGGAAGAAGCGAGGCACAAAGGGATGCCACATCTGCACCTGCTCGTTTCATCAAAGCCAACAATATACTCAGCACTGATAGAGCTCGAGATGATAGAAGCGGCGGACCGTGTACATCTTTTTTAAGTAGTATTTGGAGAAGTTGAGAGTGACAATCCTCACCTGCAGCAAGCATCTCATTGGGGCATCGTCGTAAAAGAACCTCCAGGACAAATAAGACACTCTCCCTCCTTTTACATGACTCTTCAGCAGAATCCAAAGTGGCGACAAGAAACCGCAAAACATCTCCCCCCTCTCCAAGAACCGACACACAGATTCTACAAAAATCTGCTGTAGTATCACGAACACTCCATACTACTTCGTCCTCATGCTCCTCCTCCTGACGAAGAAAGGTATTTGCATCAACAAGCCATTCTCGAGCTTCTATATCACTTACTGTCGTGTACAACAAAACAAGATTCAGTAGTGACGGTAGATTATTAACAACGATGTTATCTACAACGTTCCTCAGGCTCTTCATTTGTACCATGAATCCTAACAATTCCCAACGTTTCGCCATAATTTGTTGAATAACAAGGCTTGCATCCTCGCTACTGTCCGTGTTCTGCAAGGCCTCCAGGTAGACATTGCTCTCCACTTCATTACGCGTTAGTAAACCATAGAAAATACTGGCTGTAATGTATTGCCTTGTCCACTTGGCAACACGCAGCATGCCATCGACAAATGTCATAAACCCTAATGTCTGCCTGTTTCGAAAATCACACTCTTGTTGTCCCTTTGATGGGAAAGTAGGTGTCAGTAAAGCAGCTGCCAAGGCCGGAAAAAAACTCTCCCATGTTTCTTTTATCAATCGAAGCATCGGAAATTTCCGTATTGGAGCTAACGGAAGAATAAGATCTCTCAGCACATTGAGAGCCATATAATTGGACTCGCTCGGGGTATCTGAAATAGCACGTCGAAAAAGATATGGTGCAAGACGCAAAAGCTCGTTACGACTTACAGAGCTTAGAGAAAGATGGTTTAGCAACTCCAAAACCAGTATCATGGCGTTTAATTCCAGTCGGGTTGAATCAGCTTTAATAAATGCATCAAAGAGAAAGTTCATAAAAAAATGCATGGGCTCAGATATCACGTCGTGTTCTGTTTCACCAATGCATTCCATTTTTAATATAATGAGGCTTATAACGACCGCAGAAAGATTTGCCACGAGACGATCCTCTTCCACACACAACATATTCACAAGTATGTTATTCACATCAACGCATTCTTCTATTGCAACAAGACCGACTTTTTGTTTTAGAATACTCAGGACCAAGAGACGATGACATTGAGGAATAGTCTCCACATTCAAATAAGCATAGCGAGCCAGATGTCGCAAAAATCCCCCACAGGAAGTAAGACAATCAATTTCCTGTTCCGCTTGAAGTCTTATAGAGTTTTCTGAACTAAGAGCATGCTGCAAAAGCGTGGATAATTCCTTCATCTCAGTCATGAAAACAGAAAAAGTAGTCCCACACTACAGTACAAGCCCTATACTACCTACTTTTGACAACGCAATCCAACAAGCAAACAACACATATATATGCATATATATATATATATAAGTTAGTGTGGTCTTCAACAACAACAACAGCGTAATCACACTCACAATACACACACATACAAGACACTATTACAACCAAGGAAAAAAAAACTACATAATAAAAAATATGCACATTTTGTCATATATATATATATATATATATATATATTCATCCTTCCTTTTCTAATTCTAATTTTAGACTTTCTTTTTTCCTTATCATGACAATTTTTTCTTCTCGCTTATCTTTTGCTCCATTTTTGAGTGATTCATAGCACCGTAAATTTAGAGCTTTTTATAACCCTTATTTAGGAGTGAAACAAATACATCGTGGATACATTCTGTCAGAAAAGGAAAGGACCAATCAAATCCGTTAATATGGTTTGGAAGAACATACGGATGAGGTGAAGAAAAAAACTGTGTTACCTCCACATTTTCCTCTTCAATACGAAGCACAGCCCCTTTGTTATCAAGCGCATCGCAATAATTAGGAGCTGAGAATACTGACATCATGCACGGAAAGTTGGAAGAACTATTCAATCGATAAAGCTTGTAGCCCTCATCTTGCAATTCATGACTTCGAATGACACAAAGAAGTCGGCCTGTCATAAGAAAATGTTTTAAACTAGAAAAATTAAACAAATAACTACATCCTCTTTGTTCATTAACAAGGAAACAAGGTTTAGACCCATAAGATGGACCAGTGCTAGGGGTGTAATAATCGTCCTTTGATCCTCCTTTAACCGATGATGGGTTTTCAACATCCCAAAGGGGATCTGACCACAACAAGTCGCACATAGCACCTCTTGAAGGAGGTTCTCTAAAGCGGTGAATACGTTCAATGTGACTTACTCGCATCACATCCGGTGAAAGACCACCATGAACACAAAAAAAACGTTTGTTCACTAAGGCTGCTAACGGCAAACAGTCAAACGCCTCCATGATTGACTGGTAAACCTCTTCATTATATTTCCTTATGCACTCCTCTTGAAAACCAAAAAAATCTGTCATCAAACGAGATTCATGATTTCCACGAAGCAAAAAGACAGACTTAGGGAAATTAAGCTTTGCTGCAAGTAAAACCAATATACACTCACAACTAAAAAAACTACGATCAGTGTAGTTGCCAAGGAAGAGATACTTTTTCGAGTCATCAAACATGCCACCTATTCGAAGGATTTTCGCTAGGTCATAGAACTGCCCGCGAATATCGCCCACCACCGTGATTAAGTCATCATCAATAGTTAGCACATTTGGCTCCGCGCGCAAAATCCCAGATGCATTTTGAATTATGCTCAAAGCATCATGTTTTCCAAGGCGTCCCTGACAAAGAAAGTGCGCAATCATAACCTTTAGATTAATCTTACCCTTTCTATCAATCAAAACAGCACGCCTGACTTCATCCCAGTATGGAGGAGGAACAGATGCCTTTTTCCGCTCCCTTTTTAGGGAATCTGAGGTGGGCAGCATCCTCAGTTTTGAATCTAACGTATATATCTGGAAGTGTTAAAGAAAGCAGAACAAAGAACGGAAATATCAAATCAAATCAAAAAAAAGACGATAACATTTATTTTCAATCAGCTCAAGAAGTGGAAGAGGTATGCATATGCAGAAGAGACATTGCAAAGACAGCCATTGCATTACATCGTAGGGATAAAAATGTAAGACGCTACAGTGTAGCCTCAAATACTATTATTACTTACACCGTACTCATGGGAACACATGTTATTTATTTATACAAAGACGGAGGTCCTTTCCATCACATTCTGAATAATTTCCTGATCGACATCTAAATTATCAGAAAGCTCTCTAAAAGTAAAGGAGATGCGACGGTTTTTAATATTTTCCCAACGAATACCATGCAACCAATCATAGCGACTACGATTGGATAGCAAAAAGAATGCACGACAAGGTAGAAAGACGTCAACAGCTACCCCATTACTGTTTACAAAAGTCATTACTGTATCTTCTAACAGATTTAAACCACCAATACGATCACCCCAAAGCCATGTATCATCAACATGAGGATCAATACTACTCTTCATTGCATCTGTATACTCTAGCGCTGAGACCTCCGCTATATGGTAGTCCTTCATAGTTAGCTTTCTTACAACCAACTGTACTTTTTTCATAACACTCTCCAGCTGTTTAGGCATACCAAGTAGACCAGAAGTATTAAGTTTTCGTTTTTTAAAGTTGGCTCTGGGGCCAAAATTTTGCTTTCTTCTTCCACTCTGAGAAAGCTTCCAACCAGAAAACGACGACGGCTCATCAAGAAACCTAACAAAACTTTCCTCTTCCAAAGCTGACACAAAATCTGGAATGACAAAAATCCCTTCAAGACAAATACCGAGGTTTGGTGTAGCGTATTCATGATCCACACAACTTTTAAAGGCTCCATCATAGATCTGGAAAACCGTATTGCATTGCCAACAAAGCCCATATTGACTTGATCCTACACAAGTGAAGGAGCAGGAAGAAGTGCGCTCCGTACCGTATTGCCTTGATACTACGTCAGACGTCTTCAAAAGAGCGACCTTATGGCCAATAATAGCCTGGACACGATCAGAGTCTATACAACGCCCACAAAAACGTATACCTGAACAACAGCATCCCTCTTTTTCCTCCATTTACGACGTACACAGCATTCCTTTCCCCGTTATCAGGAGTTCTCTAGTCAAAACAATAATAAAGGAATTACAGAGAAGAAGAAAATGCATGTGAAAAGAGAAAGGATACAGTAAATGGCCTTGAACTCAAAGTGAATAATAACAGCAATAGGAGGTGAGAATCATAAAAGAGGGAAAAGTAAAACCAACATACAGTGCCTTTGCAAGACCTTGGGGGTACAAAAGATCTCACCGTCTTTGTTATCGTCTTTGAATTCATTTTGATTTTATTTAGAAGCAATCAATTTGTTGACTTCGTCAACGGTGTCTTTGTATGACTTTACAGAGTGTCCAATGGTTCGCTGGTCAATGTAAATTTCATAGTCATTGCCGCCTTCATACGTCTTGTCTCCAAAAAAGTGAATTTCATCAAATTCATTCTCCACAAAACGCAAACAATACCTCTTATCCCATCCAACTGGAAAAACGTCAAAACTGATTTGACCCCCAATAGAATATTTTAATCCATAGTCTGAAAAAGTCCCCTGAAGTTCTTTAATAAGCTTTTCACGTACGTGATGTTCTTTATCATACAGTTCAAAATCATCTCTTTCTGTCTGAGAGCAATTCCGACCAATTGGGGAGACGTTAATCATTCCATTCCTATATTCAATAAATGTGCCTCGTTGAACAGGAATATCAAGATCCGAAATAAGGCGCATGGTTTTCCGCACAAATTTCACAATGCGCTCATTTCCAAGTTCATTAAGGAGACTTTGACGATGAATTTCCTCCCCATTTTTATAGGCCAATAAACCATTTTCAGCAAATACATATTCAAACTGTTGGAGAATATCATCTCCAAGCTGCTCTCGCTGCTTAGCAAAATCGGATCCGCCAACAACTCCCACTGAGAATCCAGCTTTTCTTGCACGCCGAACAATTTCCTGAACCTCCTCTGGTTGAGAACGCCTTGGGGGAGTCAGGGTCCCATCAATATCAAATAGCAGGAGAATCTTTTTCATGTGGTTTGAAGCTACTCCCATAAACCACTCAGCAGTCAACAACAACACCGACAAAAAAACATGAAAAAACGAGGCTATAGTACACAAAGCATGGGCAACATTGAACCAAACAGGGAGCATCAATAGGGGGAAAACAAAAAAAAACAGCAAGGGAAACAAGAACAACACGCAAAAGAACACTGTTCAAACCAAAAACAGGAAGAATGGAAGGAAAAAAAAAGAATATTTCGAAGGGCCGCCGGCGCGCCGCCCTGTTTTTCGCCGGTAGCTTCCCCTCTCGCCCCGCCTGTGGCGGGTACCAGCCGACGGGCCCGCAAAACGCAAAAGGGGCGAGGTCTGCAGCGCCGGCGCCGGCCGCCCCCTTTCCTAGGGCTTGGGCGGGGGGGCCGAGTGTTTGTTTCTTTCTTGGTTTCGCTTGAAATGTTGGGGGTGCATGCATTGGTCTTTGTTTTTTCTTTTGTTTTTAGGCGATGAGAAGAGTGTACCGTGTTTCTCGGCTCGCGGCGCGTGCGTTTCCGGCTCAGTGTTTTCGGCATTGCTTAGTGGAGGATGGGAACAAGGGCGATAATTGCCAGGAATCTGATTCTCTTAATAAAGTAAAAGAAGTTGATCCTTTCCGTGTAGGATACAACATGGGAATGCAAAGTGTACATCTAGAAGCTATTCGAATGAAGCTGACGGATCATTTGGAGCTCTTTAAATCGCATTTTCACGCACTTAGTGATATACTGAAGTCAAACCATGATCAAGTTAGACAATTACATGAACAATGTAACAAGGCGATACTTCATGAGTTAAATGAGTCCAATGACCAAATTTTTTCACAGCGTTCCGAATTTGAACGACACCTAAAAAATTTGGAGGATTCTTTAAAAAGTCAAATTGAAGACAAGGTAGTTGGACTACAGGCACATATTGATGATCGTTTTGAAAATCTTAGAGACGTTATAAAACTAGGATTTGGAGTACTTATTCTTCTAAATCTATGGATGTTTTACACCATATCACAAAACCATCGTCAATATATGAATGCTCACACGACACATACGTTGAATAATTTGTCTTCACAAACTAAAAAATAGAAGAACATTTTTCCTAGATATGAATAATAAATTGCTTTTACTGGTATATATATATTGGTAATAATAACAGTAATAATAATAATAATAATAGTAATAATAATAATAACAGT